TCAACAAAACCAACGTGACCCCCTGCTTGCACAGGGAGCGTGCTGAGGACTATTTTCAGGCGCTGCGTAATATCATTGCGCCTGCTGCACCCATGGTACGGCAGCAAAGTTCCTTGATTATTACGCCGGAATGAGAGTATAGTTCCTAGCCATATCAGCCTAGAAAATCGCAACTTTTAATTTTCCGTCGGTCTTAGTACACGATATAACTACAGAAGAGTCAAGTTTTAAATAGGAAAAATATCGAAACTCTTTAGTCATTTTTGAGCGAGATGCTAACGGTTTAATCAGATTCAATGATCTATGCTAAGCTAAGTTAAAAGTGCTACCCGCCAGACCCGGAGATCGGCTGAATGGATTCGAAAACGGTAAAACTCAACTGTTTAACTCTAGGGGAGTTGGAAAATGAGCCTATTTTCAAAAATAGTGGAGTGTTCCTTTAAGTCACACTTAAAATGAATTTCATTGCTGTAGGTAATAATGTTTGTTAGACATTAAATTAGGTATTAGCATATTTTCCAATTTAGTTCAATTCTGATTCGCTCAATTTGATTCAGAGTGTCATGATTCAGTGCCTATACATTTTGGACCTTTTCAGTTGTAACTGAATGTAAACTTTTCTTAAATATGAAAGAAATACTCTCTGATGCTGTAAATTATGCCGTGCAGTGTTTCAGGCTGATTTAAACCTGTAACTCATCTTTTTGAACTATTCATAAAACAGATTGGCTCATAAGAGTAATTTATTCGTGAATGGGACGCTGGTTGCACTGTATTTTGTTGATTCACTAAAACAAACAAGCTCATAAGAGTCATTTGTTCATGAATCAGACTACACTGGCCATGCTGTATGTTTATGATTCTCTAAAAATAACCGGCTCGTAAGAGTCATTTGTTTGCGAGTCATACTACAGTACACTAGTCATGCTGTATGTTGCTGTTTCACTAAAAAGAACTAGCTTATATGAGTAATGTGATTTGTGAATCGGACAACATTTTTCACATTGTATGTTTGTTGCTGCTCATTTAGTTCTGTAAAAAGGTCTATCATCTAATGTGATTAAGTGCAGATATTTTAACTGCCCTTTTTAGACCACTGCAGTTCGCCACGGTATATAAAACAATAGGGTGTTTCCTTTCAGAACTGAATCCCAATAGATCTGTACCTCGGTCCAGTCCAACCAGGATCACAGTGCAAGCACGCTCCAGTTTCTGGGTCACATGGGTCCATGTTTCTGCAATGCGGACAAACCTCTCTGCAGCGATGGCCATAATAACCTGCAGGACAAGGCTGATCGCAGCGAGTGCCATTCCAACCTGGTGCACAGGCATCACACAGGCCGTCCTGTTTAGAGCAAGACCTGCCTCCTTCACAGAGTCCACAGCTACATGCACACACACAGATATAAGAACAGAACTCATGGATGAACCAAAGAAAGTAATGTTTACTTAAGCTGAATAATTAAACAATGATTTAAAAAAAACTTTAAATAAAGTTAAAATGCTCAAATTAACATAATTGCATGCATTAATAATGTTTTAACACTTTCAAATCAGTGTTAAATCTGCTCTGTCAGAACAAATGTACACTACCGTTCAAAAGTTTGGGGTCAGTATGATAAGAAATGGTAGGATTTTTTAAAGCCCACCAAGGCAGTAATATTGTGAACTATCATTACAATTTAACTGTTTTCTATTTTAATATGTTGTTTAATGTTTTCTATTTCAACATTTTTTTCTGTTTTAATATTAGAATTAAGTATAAATAAGTAATAAATGAATAATAAATACATATTTTATTTCTGTGATGGCAAGCTGAATTTTCAGCAGCTATTACTCCAGTCTTCAGTGTCACATGATCCTTCAGAAATCATTATATTATGCTGATTTGCCGCTCAAGAGACATTTCTTACTATTATCAATGTTGAAAACACTTGTGGTGCTTAATATTTTTGTGAAAACTGATAGATTTTTTTTTTTTCAGGATTCATTGATGAATAGAAAGTTCAAAAGAACAGCATTTATTTGAAATAGAAATCTTTTGTTACGTCATAAATGTCTTTACTCAATTAAATGCATCAAACCTGTATCGATTTAATGCATCCTTTCTGAATAAAATCATAATCAGCATGAACTATTCGTTTAATTTAACCTTTTCACTAACCTCTTCTTACAGCCTCTGCCATACTTTCCGCTGTCACAAGGCTCATTGCAGAAAGGCTCTTTGTAACCCGGGTAGCAGAGACAGTTGCCAGTTTGCAGGTCACAGTCAGCGTGGCTGAGATTACAAATACAACGGCGGTCACAGGACGGACCCCACCTGCCATGCACGCACTGACAGGCCCCTGTGTGCTGCTGGCAAGGGGACATAAAGCAGTTGCATCGCAGGCTGCATTTTTGGCCCCAGTTGCCTTCGTTACACAGGCAGCGTCCTGTGGCTTGGTCACAAGTGGATTTGCCAAGGTGGCACTGACAGGCTTTGGAGCAAGTGGATGTCCACCAGCCCTCCTCACATGTGCAGTTGCCATAGACAGGGTCACATTTCCCATGACGTCCACATTTACAGCTGTTTCGGCACATGTTGCCCCAGTGGTTAGGCAGGCACGAGCACTCACCAGTGACTGGGTCACAGAGCCCATGAGGGTGACAGGGACAGAGCTCTCGACAATCCGGACCCCAAAATTCAGGAGGACAAGCTGTGTAGAATAAATAATTCAGATCCATAATAACTAGATATGCAATACTACATGTATAGTAAACAATATGAATATTGAAAATAATATGAAAATTATGTGCAACATATACAGTATATCAGAAAGAAACATTTATCCAGTGTTGTTTTGCCAAAGATATTCAGTTCTGGTCCTCAAATTTAATTGGCTGAGCGCTGAATAAATCAGTAGTTGGCATTGGCAATAAACTAGTCTCTACATGGGTGAGTCACTGAATCATTCATTCAACTGATACATTCAAACACACATGAACGCCACTACTGTGTGTTAGACTAGTGATGGGTGATTTCGAAGCACTGATTTAAGGAATATTTTCAAATCAGTTCGGCACTTTTGCCAAGTGTTATTTTAACAAACGAGGCAACATTTCAAACCATCATTGAACTTAGATTGAGTGTCTAATCTTTAATGATTTTAAGTGATCTCAGGTTAGTTTTATCATTTGATTGATTTTTATTTAATTCAATGAATTTTAATACTTATGCATGTACAAAAGCTAAGCTTCCTAGTTTGCCAAGTAGTAACACACAAAGCACCACACATTAATAAAAATACACATTTTACAGAAACTTCATATTTAATACTTTAATATTTAATTCTTTGTAGACATTTAATAGATTGTACTTTTATGAAAACATTTGCAACTGGTTTTTAAAAAGTGTAAATAGATGTTTGGGATGAGTTTTCGTTGCATTTACGTCGTTTTGACCAGCAGGTGCCGCTAGCCTGTGTTTCGCGCGTTTCGAATTCGAAACAGTGAATCAGTTTGCAAAGAAATTGATTCAAAGTTTCGAAAAGCTTCGTGCTCTGAAAAGTTTGAAGGTTGATTGTGCTTAGGATTTGTTTGTAATTATTTTGTTCGTCGGAGGAAAAACTGACACAGTAACTGGCGTAATTGGGTCTAAAATGTAGGTTATTCGATATTAAATTCTTGTTTATACAAAGCAATATATCAGGCTTGCTCGTGTGTTTCAGTGTCTAACCTAATGGCCAGACGCAGCTGTGCAATTGCAAAAGGCGGTTCTGAAACCAGAAACAAAAGATCTAAACGATATTACTCACGGGTTTTGCACTGATACCCGTAAAATCCTGGTTTACATCGACAAAGTCCAGGGTAAACACACACTTCATCCTGCAGACAAGCCCTTTCTCCCTCACAGAGGGCTGAGAAAACAAAAAGATGCTTTACACACAACAGTACCTGAACCCCCAGCTTAAAACTGATGACATCTACAGGCCCAAAGGAAACAAGCCTTTTGTGTCATCAATAAAACAACGTGTCATTTTGTATTAAAGTACATCAACAGATGGCATCAATACTCACGGACAGTGCATTCATCACCGCTCTGGCCCCATCCAGAACAACATATGGGAGAAGAATCCCTATTGAGAAAAATATAGCAGACATCATAGAATGTATTGAATCAATCTACACTGACATAAATAAAAAGTTAAATAGGTTAAAGAGAGGTAATTTTATATCTTAAGAAACCCTATAGAAAAGACAAATCGCAAATGACATCTCTTAAATATCTCAATTGTTTCACCTAGACAGGAAACAGATTCAGTGGAAAACAATTTAGTAATTAAGTCTCCTTTTTTTTGTCCTGACAAAACTGCCCTAGAGTTTCAAAGGATATCTCAACAATATCTCAAGATGACCTCAAAACGTTTTATGTCAACTTCCATCAAGACTTTAAAATTATCTTGGCTATGTGATCCACATTCATTTTATAGCTCTATAAAATTTAATCTATGTCAAAAAAGTGACACATTTACTTTTATTTTTCCTGAAGAATTTATGGAGAAACATCGGAGACAAAGATACTTCAGTACCTTACACTGAGGCAGACATTTTTCCCGGTCAGAGAGAGTCTCTGAGCTGAGCATTGGACACACATGAGCATCAGTCCAAATGAGGTCAGAAAGATGTCCATCCCCTCCGGACCAACCAAAACCGGACCCCCTCTCCTGCCACAGCACCAGTACAGGTTAGTTCTGTACTTCTAGAACAGAGAAGATCCAGTCCAGTCCAGTCTCTATAGCAAAATGCGCTCTCAAAATCCCTTTGTTTCCTCTGCAAGTTTCCTGAGGAAGAAAAGCCAGCTTCCTCGAATTCAAAAAGCCACTGGTTGTTTAAAGACAAAATCAAGGCCCAGAATTTTGTGGGAGGAGTTGGATATTTTTAATGGTCAGTGTGTCTGCCAACAATTTCTCATCCTTACCAATTACTTTTATACATTAAAATACAAGTATTAAAAAATTGCACTGACTATAGATGGCCTTTTTTTGTTCAGAGGTCAAAAATTACACACACACAAACGTAACAATAACACCTCTGGATTTTTTTTGTAGCCTTATAGCACTTTCCAGTAACAAACATTTTTACAAAAGTAAAATACACTAGTAAAAGGTCAATATGGGACTCATTAACTTTTATTTCCAAAGGTCCAAAGATAAACGGATGGGTCACAGACAGCCAAGGAATATGAAATTGAACTACCGGCCTTTGAAACATACAGGCACCCACTATCTCTAATTTCCGTCGGAGGAAACACAGACTTCCTCTCAATCAGGGAACACCTTAAGACTCATACAAAGTATATTTGAATCACGTCCATATGTTTTTGCCTCTTTATTCAACAAAACAGCTATGAGACACACACTTCTGATCAGTTGAATGGCTGAAGAGGGCAAAGTGCCAACTCATTAAAAGGCTAGTTCACCAAAAAAGAAACATTCTGTCATCATTTACTCACCCCAACATTCTTTAAAATATATTCTTTTGTGTTCTGCAAAAGAAAGTGAGTCATACAAGTTTGGAACAACACGAGACATCAATAAACATTTTCAGACAATAAAACTTTTGACCAATGCATATTTTTTTCTTACATGTTTACATGCTTTTTTTAACATCAGATTGACATAATCATGGACATCTCCACAGGACTGACCAGGCATTAATAATATCATATGTTGGTTGACAATATTAAAATATTTATATTTAAAAACATGCTAAATCATTAAAAATTATACAAAATGGATACTTTTAGGTACAGCTAATGTTTTATAAGAAAATATTTTGGAAGATCATGAATACAAAATACTCTAATGCCCCCTAGTGACGTAATGGGTCAGTGTGATAGTGATGACAATACAATGTCAGTATCTTTGGTTAAAATCCATATTAAATATACTCTCTATAAAAATAGCTGCTATAATTCTCTGTAGCTTCCATCCAGACATCTATAATATAATGTCAGGTGTAGTATGATTATCAAAACACTGCAGATTAGTCATTGTTTATTAGATGTTTTTAAGTGCACCAGTCTGCGCTCATTTGCACCGTCAATTGAAATGACAATAATGATTGTTTCTAATCCCTCCTACCATCCTTTCCAAGTCAATTTCCTGATAAACAGCTTATTACAGGTAGTCTTGACTCTTGCCCCAAATGCGTACCAAAATATATTAATAACAGTTGTCTTTGCATATTAAACTCAGATAGGAGAAAGTGAAAAAACAAATTACACAGTTAATCTTTAACTATATATATGCTACTGTTCAAAAGTTTGGGGTCAGTAAGATTTTCTCTTTTTTCTAACAAATGATTACTTTTATTCAGCAAGTACGCATTAAATTGATAAAAGCTGCAGTAAAGAAATTGTTACAAAATATTTTTATTTTAAATAAATGCTGTTTTTAAATTTCTATTCATCAAAAAATCCTGAAAAAAAAGTATAACAGTTTCCACAAAAAAATTAAGCAGAGTTTTCAACTGTAATAATAATAAGAAATGTTTCTTAAGCATCATATCAGCATGTTAGAATGATTTCTGAAGCACCCTGAAGACTGCCGTAAAATTCAGCTTTACAGAGTAAATTACATTTAAAAATATATTAAAACAAAAAATGGTTATCTTAAAATTACAGCTTTTTTATCAAATAAATGCAGCCTTGGTGATTAAACGAGGCTTTTCTCAAAAACATTAAAAACTGACCCTACGTTTTTGAACGGTAAACAATAACAATATGTATATGACTGACACAATCTGACCTCGTCTTCAGGTCATGACCATCAGGCAACAAATCTAGCTATCGGCTAAATGAACAAAAGCCAAGTGCTGAATGATTTTATACTGAGAAAAAGGTCTGCTTAGGCAACAAATACTAAAATACTATGTTTGTATAACCAAATACAAAGAGTAGTCCGTTCTCCGGTTTGAAACCTAAATGAGATCAAGAACATATTTTGAACTTCTCTCTTCTAACCCAGGTGAAGATGAGTGACAGTTGCGGTGGTTTTTAAGAGGAGCTGAGGGTCTGTGTCTCCTCCTGGCCTCCCTGCTCGTCTGGATCAATGATTTCCCACGTGGAGCTGGATGTTGGAAGGCCGGAGGGCTGGGAACCAGAGCTCCTTGTAAGATTGGACCGCGTCAGGAAACCAAATCTAAAGGTTTGAATCAGAGGAGATAAGAGAGCTCTCAATCATGACAGAGGGAGATTTCTTTTGTAGGTAGTAGTTCAGTAGCTAGACTGCATGCTCAGTTACTGAGGTTACTACGCCAAAGAGCGAAATGTGATTAAGGGATCTCTAAAATCAGCTTAGGGTTTCACCAAGAACATATAGTGTGAATGCTGCCAAGTGCCAAAATATACAGCTGCTATATCTGTATCGCACAAATTACTACACACTATACACAGAGAAGAGAGCAGATTCCCTATCAAAGTCTTATTTAAAAAATGTGGAATACATGAGGCTCTCAAACAGAAATAAATAGTTTCAATACTTGAAGTCTCAGTCTTTTTACCAACATACATTTAAAGGGAAAGTTTAAGAAGACTATGCAATCCAACCTGCCCCACAAGCTACACTGCAAAAATGTCTGTCATGTAACATAACAATGTGGTAAGAAACGTAAACAAAAAAATGTCCATGTAAAAAAATGTCTGTCAGGTAACCTAAAAATGTGGTAAGAAATAGAAACAAACATGTGTACATGTAAGAAAAATGTCTGACAGATAATCTAAAAATGCAGTAAGAAATGTAAACAAAAAAATTACATGTTAAAAAATGTCTGTCTGGTAACCTAAAAAAAGTGTGAAACAAAAAAAAAAGTAAAACAGAAACAAAAATGTGGCAACATCTACATTTTCTCTAGTAACAAATTACATTTATTCCTGAATACTATCCATCAATATGGAATCATTCTTCAGAATGAGTCAACATTAAATTAAACAAGTGAAAGTAATTGTAAGGATAAAATCAGGTAGATTTTGTTGCTCAAAACTACTTAAACTACAAGAACAACTAAATCTTTCACAGACAGGGCTTAGGTTAAGCCAGGATAAGGCCATAGTTCAATTAGGACATTTAAGTATCTTTTATAAACGTGCCTTAGAAAAAACATTACTGGTGTAACATTACTTAAGACAAATCAATAGTACTAACATATTTTAAGATATATCAGTGCAAGTTTCTTACAGTTAAAACAGAACAGACATGCATTTTAGTCTGGGACTAGGCTTAAGCCTTGTCTGTGAAACCGGGGGATAATGTATGGCCAATATTGCTGAAACCAGCTTTCAGTGAAGTAGGTTAAGTAGATTGTTCTACTGAAATAAGTTATTGCTATAGGTCTAAACTGTTTTAGCGAGAATGAACTCACAGGTTTCTGATGCGCGAGTCCTGGGGTCCGTTGTCAGTGCTGTCAGTGTCATTGTCTTCATTTGCACTCCTCTCAAACAAAGGGCCATCTGTCTCATCTCTGTATGACAGTGAACACGGTTAAACACAACATTATTTACATGGGCTATATATTACCAGTACTTTTGTGGCACGTACTCACGTTCTACATTCGCTAACGGGTATGCCAAGCATTTTAGACTTTATAACGGTCCTCTGCTTCTTTATGGCAGAGCGCACGGCATCCAGTAAGAACCCTGGGCATCTCTCATCATTCAGGATTTCCCTAAAGAAACAGAGAAATGGGTGTTCAGATTGAGAGGATGTTATGCTGATATAAAAGGTTAGAATGAGTCACAAACACAACTGTCTCACCTTTGGTAATATGCAAGCTCCTCTTTGACCAGAAAGAGATTGGCCTTCAACTCATTCTTCTCAAAAAGCAAGTCCCGTACTTCCTGCTTGGTAAAACATGGCCGATTTGGATCCTTCAAGTCAATGATCATCTTATCTGTGAGGTCAATGGCTGAACTGCTCTGAAAGAGGCAAAGGTAAATTATGAGTATGTGAGTCAAAACCATAAATGTCTGACGGGAACAGTTGATAATCTGTTCTTTTTTTAAAAGACAGGCTGGTAACATTTTACAGTGTTTGTGTCACACAGCAACTTGTCTTTTGAAAATCATATTTCCCATGTTACAAAACAGCATTCTTCCATCTTAGAAACATTGCCAAGCTACGAAACATGTTACCTGTTTCTGATGCAGAAAAGCTAGTTCATGCATTCATGACCTCTAGACTGGACTATTGTAATGTACTGCTAGGTGGTTGTCCTGCATCTTCAATAAACAAGCTACAGGTGGTCCAAAATGCAGCGGCTAGAGTCCTTACCAGGTCAAGAAAATATGATCATATTACCCCAATTTTACAGTCTCTGCACTGAATCTTGTACTGCAGTTATAGCTGATCAAATGCACATTATTCTTCTTTAGCTTGGGTTAAATAAATTAATTTTACTTGGTTGGAACAGCAGCTACGCTAATTATGTCTCAAGCTTCAGTCTGGATCCAGAACACCTGAGAAGAGATGATGCCAACCATGAAACAACATACAGAACTACCAAATTTTGCTATAAGTTTGATTGCATCATATAATAATTGCTGTTAATAATGTTCATCGTCTGTTTGATTACGTCTTTAATTTATTTTTCCGTACATTTCTGCCATATGTACATTAACTGACAGTCACCACTGATAAGCTACTACTAAATATTGTAGAAACTTAATTTGCTGTAAAGTTGCTTTGCAACTATTTGTATCGTAAAAAGCACTATACAAATAAACTTGAATTGAATTGAATTGAATTGAACACATATTGCACACTAAATAATACATCTCTAAACTAATAACAAAAAGTGTGGTGCACAGTGTTGCTTAAACAAGTGATTTCATAAGAAACATTAAGATAAATTTAAATTAAGTTAAAGTTTAAAAATGATAAAGAAAACATAAAAACAGTTTAATATAAATATTCATTAAAAAGTTATTTAACAACATTTAAATGTAAAATAATAAATAAAAAACAATTCCTTTCAAAATCATTTTTATGTGTCTGACTACAGATCTAGTTCAGTGTATTAAAAATCTTATTTTGCAGCCTTTTACATTTTTTGTTAATAACTAAAAGCTTATTTTATTTCTGAATTTAAATAATCTCTGTTAAATAAAAAACTTGAATTAGAACTAAATTTAAATTAAGATAAATGTTAAAATGATAATGTTTTAATAATAAACAAACAAAAATTTTAATATAATATGAATATAAAAAGTGATTTAATATAATATTTAAATATAAAATAATAAAACAGTTCATTTCTAAATAACGCTAAATAATAATGCTAAGATCTAGTTCAGTGTATTACTTAATATTTTGCATTATTTGTTAATTACTAAAAGCTTATTTTATTCATATTCATTATATTTATCTCTGTTAATCAGGATAAAACTAAAGTGAAAAATATTCTGACAAGGTTTTAATGTTGGAATTTAATCAAGCATCCCAAAATGTTTGTATGCTGAAGGGGAGATGAGCACAAACATGTCCTTCCACTCCTGTGAAGGCAAATGTTACCTATATACGCTTCATCCAACCAACCAAAGCAGAAATTAGGCCCTGTGCTACGGAAAGAGGAACATACAAGCTTCTGCCTGATTATGCCTTCAGGAAATAGACGTAAACCAATACGGGACAGCTAGTTTGTTAGTACGAATAAATGTAATATTAATGTGACTAACCGTTTCAGCAGCAGTATGTACGCTGGGTCTTTCTAACTGTGAGTTCAGGCGCTCTATCTCTTTCTGTTTCTCGCACAGGTCGGCCTCCAGGTCGGCCTTCCTCTCCACTGCACTCTTCAGCTGAGTCTGAATGATGTTCTGCTTGTGTCTGAGCTCTGCGTTTATCTTCATTAGTCGCTCCTGCTGCTCCTGGAGCTGAAGAACAAAACCCAAACATGTTAACTAACAGACACACACTTCTCACAACTCACTGAAAATTAGGTTTGGGGCGATGTCTACCAAATTGGCATCAGCCGATGTCTACAGTGAAACATCGCGATGGACGATGACAGGTTTTGTGAGGGGGGGTTGCTACATGGCCATCTGCCAAAACATTGAAAACAATTATATCATTACAAATGGTGTGGGGGGGAATCACGATGCCGGCTCAACATCGTGATGTCTGTCAGCCATTGGCGATGGATGATGGCATCATCTATTGGCCCAGTCCTACTGAAAATAATTTATGTTGAAAATGTATACATGTGCAATAGGTTGAACTTAAATTGTTAAGTCAGCTTAAGAGCAAATTATGACTTAATGTTCATTCTGTTAATTTCTCTATGCACCAGGCTGCTGTGTGGTACCAGTCTGACCAGTTTCATAACCAAGGCAAGGCAAACATAACACATAAAAAAGGAAAGTATTAACCTCAGCTCCAAACCACAGCTATATGCCTCTGATGCAATTCATGAGCAACTACATTTTGGCTCACACGTGCTGTGTGAGTGACACTGTTGACACTGTGTTCCAAATTCAACAAAGAAAACCTTGATAGTTGCTAAACTAGGTTCGATGAAGAGAACAGTACAGTCTGTTTTACTGTGGGGGGAAAAAACCTGGTTACCACAGTTACGCATTCTTTTCTAAAGGGACAATGAAAAGAAATATCAAAAAGATCTTGAGCAACGCAATTATATCAGACCCATACCGCTTCCACTTCCTTGGACATGCTGGAAATCTCCTGCACTTTTGCTCTTAACTCATCACGTTGCTTATCCACCACTTCCTTCAGCTTGAGCATCACTTCTCGTTCCTGACGCTGTGTGCGGTCTAGAAAAAGGTAGCAAATGTATAGTCATATTGTAAAATAGTGCATGCAAACAGTGTTCTAATATCAGAATGACAAACTCTAATAGCATTCCTGACTACTGAGTTTACAGTAATTAATGAAAGAGAGTAACACCTCCAGGAAAAGAGATAAACCCAGCTTTATTCAGTCTGAAATATAACTCACAGAAAATAAGAGCTCATGAGAAGTTGTATTTCTCTAATATCTGGATAGAAATAACATATTTTTTGAGAGATCTCATGACTTTTTAAAGGACAAGCAATTACATTTTGGACTTTATACTGTACATAACAATGAAAGTAAATTAAATTGGTGTGACAAGGAACAACAAAATATAATTATAAAACCATTTAAGACTCTGGATAATAATTACCTTAAAAAAAATAAACATTTTATGATGATGTATGTGATCAAAAATGTGTTTTTTAATGTATATTTTAAGAAAATTACTGTTAAATGCATGTTATAGATCTTACTGTGAACTATTAATAAATCTATGGTTATTTTTATTATTTATTTATTTTGAAACAAAATGTTGACCTCATAATTTTTAATCACTGGATCTTCCAGAGAAAAAACGACAAACTTCTCTTTGGTGACATATGCCAGACTTCTCCAATTTATTCAGTAATATTAAACTCCAGCCCTTTCTTAAAATCAACTGCTTATTATTAATCATTCCAATAGGCATTCTTTTTTGACCGTATGAACTGAGAACAGAATATGTATTTTATTTATCATTAAAATGGAGATGGCAATTACATTGATGTAACATTTTGAATTAAATGAACAATTTTGAATTAATTTCATGTTAATTTAACCATCAGCTAATTCTACCTTCTTTCGAGTGTGTGCATTGTAAACGGGCCAGAAGCTCCTGATTCTCTTCCTTGAGCTGTTGCACCTGGGACTGTAACACTTTAACATTTTCCTTCAGTTTCTTCTCCTTCTGCTGCCAGTCCTTAAGAAAAAACACATTGAGTGAGACATACCTGGAGTCACCCTCACATTAGTTTCAAAAACTAACCAATTTAACAGGTCACTTGAGAACACAGTGGCTTGTAAATCATTCATGTTTTAACTATGCAGGACAGGCCCGTGTTTTTATATAAGCAGCCCAACCAGACACAGTAGACCCTCACTTCAGAACACAAGATCCAGGGGGCGTGGTTGGATCCACATCTAGGCGGTGGAGATTGGTAGGTTTAGGGGTGGAGATGTGTGGGTTAAGGGATCAGGGGGTGGAGACGGGTAGGGTTAGGTATATGTAAGGTGGGAGGAGTTGGATCTGGATCCAACCACGCCCCCTGGATCTTGTGTTCTGCAGTGAGGACCATCTCACCAGACATCTTATTCAGTGCATGAAGTGGGCCGGTACGCACCGGTACCGGCACTTCAATATTTTAGTCTTTAGCGTACCAGCACTTTTTCGTGTGTGCCGGCACTTCTGACATGTTGCCGGTACTGAATCAAAGCGTCAGTGTCCGGGTGATTAGAAATGACACTATAAAGCACACTACCCAGGAGGTCATTTGAAACCGGTAAACTTCTGGAAAGTTCAAGGATCCAGTAAGGGAATGCAATAGTAATAAATAAGTTCAACACAGCGCTAATGCAGAGAAAACACGGACGATTTCATCAGAGATGGCCGAGAGAATAGTGACTCGCGTCCAGATGGCAGTAAATTATTATTTTCAGCGTGTATTTGGCTTAAAAGCACGAGTGTTTTATAATGAATGCCAGCTGAAGGTGTTTTAGATTATGCGCTGGTCAGTGGTTTAGTTATTCTGCATAGATCCGTATAGCAGCATGTACAGTCAGGTTAAAGCAGCAGGTTTAGTGGTCTTTTGGCGTCTCCCTGTGGTCCTGTTTGGTATCGCAGCTCAACTGGTGCTTATTTATATTAAAAATGCTCTAAAAATTTGTGTTTACTATTGTCATTTTGCATTATTGACACTATTTTCCTAATTAATGCTGTTCAGTTGCTTTGACACAATCTGTATTGTTAAAAGCGCTATATAAATAAAGGTGACTTGACTTGACTTGACTTGGACGTTTAGTTAGTAAAAGAGGAATGAACAAATAAAATTATTTGGAAATTAATAATTAATTTAGGTTATCATTGTGTTTATTATATAGCTTGGTACAGATTTGAAGAAAGCAAATTTGAAGACTAATTTAAGTGTTTTTACGACTCGGTTAATCGGACTAGATGATTCAATGACTCGTTCATAACACACAAGATGTAACTTGTTGCCATCCACTGGCGTATTTAACCCGCATAAGGGGCCAGTGAACGAATCATTCTAATAAACGGATTACAGTTACTTAGACCAAGCTCAAAATCCCCACCACTAATGGATGATACGTGATGTTCTCCAAATAACATTTATTGAGGGGCAGGGCAGACCGGAAGTGTGCCTATTGGCATTTCCTATAATCGATCACGATTCGAATCAAAAGTCCATCTGGGATAAAAGCGTTATCCTCGAGTGCAACTCTGTCCACACAGCAGCTCCGTTCATGACAAAAACATTTGTATATTTTTATTGTATATTTGCATAACATAACTGGCAAGACATCAAACCGCAGTCTAAAACTTTAGTCTTGCTGCAGTAACATGTCGACCATATTCTTACCCCACTCTCTGTACCGTTGCTGGTCTCATCGCATTCCTTCACATGTCGTTTCTTCTGCTGCTGTATCTGTAACGTCTCAAAAGCCTTCAATAGCTCCTCTTCCTTACATTTATGAGCTTGGTTTCTCGCCGCGAAACTCTCCAAGAGCTCCAACACTTTCACTATGCGAGACACCAGACCCTCCACACTCGACTTCCCATAGCTGTCGATGAGCTTCTCCACTTCTGCCCCCACCACTTTAGCGATTTCATACACATCGTCCACTGTCATCGATGAAAACGTCCTCTCGAAACACGAATGTGTCTTGATCATGTCGTTTTGGTTTTCCTCGACAGCTATCACGCAAGTCTCCATAATGCACTTGAGATGAACTTGAATTCGAACAGCGACAATCGAAACTCTTCTTGTCGGTCAGATCCAAACATACGTTCAGTCCGAACGCAGATCTTTTTTTGTTTCACTTTTAAACGCATGCATTTCGCTCCAGTTTGTTCTGTAACTACGTCCTTGGTTGATACGCTCCAATAAACACGAATGAGCTATAAAATCTGCGTGTCTATGCGGCGTAAAGTTGCATGTCATAACCTGAAGTGAAGATCTACACCCACTAACATGCGGATAAATTATGGCCGTGCATGTTTGCATAGCATTCTTTAAAAAAAAAAAAGTAGCTGAGCAGCAGTACATCTGTGAGCAGCAGTACATCTGTGACAGCCTACAGCGCTTGTTTGCCATGGTTGTTCTTTTCTGACCAATGTAACCCGATAGCTTTAATATAGCGCATATGGCAAGCATTGTTAACATTCAAACTAACTAGGATCTATGTTACTAGTACTTATTTTTAAATTACTACTAAGTTTAGTAGGTTTTAATTAGGGATGCACCGATACCACTTTTTCCAGTACTCGCCTGATACCGATACTTTTATTTTTGGTACTTGCCGATACCGAGTACCGATACCAATATTTTCATT